GTTTAACCCATTAAGGTCCAAAGCCCTCAGCCCAGACCACCCCTGAAAATCCAGACAAAATGGCTGTCCAATTAAAAAAAACCACATGGTCCAAACAAATTTACCATTTTATGTCTTGGTTTTACTCTTCAGCAGTGAAACTTTAAAACATGATTGCCAATACAATAAAGAATTACTTAAACTGCTTAAATACTGAAGATGTATGTTATGCTTTTTTAAAAAAAATATTAAAGTATGGACATCAAGTAAACAAAGTGACCATCGCTGTACTACCTACTATGTACAAGGAAATGAAAACATCTTAAAACCACAGTAAGTCTCAATTGCTGCTCTTAACTCAGCAGAAATGCAAACAAAAAGAATTAGTCAAAAACATTTTGCATTAAAACAGGCCATCTCACGGGTAAGAGAGTGAAATTCGTAAGTTTTCTTGCACAGATCAAATTTGAATTTACCGCCAGTGCTGACATCAGTGAACGTCACGAGGTAAAAAAAACTAGAAGTTACGAGTTAAGCTTACACAGACCTGGCAGTAAATCGTCTATGGAAGTATTGAAGAATGAAATAACTATCGATTGAATAGAACCCTTTCAGTTAGAGACTACGAACAAAGCTTAGATTATACCAAACAAAGAAAGTTGTTTTTATCTTTGACCAGTTCGCGACTCGCAAAGTGAAGGTGAAATGAAATTGGGCTTTACGGCCTAATGCAGCGCTCCAAAGAACGAAAAAAAAACAAGGTACAATTTAAGATCAAACGTTAAGTGTTTTTTAAGAGTTAATTTCCTCCGTGCCATTTTGAAAAGCAGGAGAGTTCACCACGCTTTTGCTGACTTAAAGCAACGCCGCATTGCTCACAAGCATATGTTTTGAAGGCGCGTCTATCACTTTGCTTTCTCCCGTCGTCGATGAAAAGATTAAGGAAATCTTTCGATGTTGCACCCTCGCCCAGATCTTTCGTTAGGCCAAGAGGAAATTATGGTAAACTCTTCTATGTCAATTTCACTCAATGTGTTTGACCATGGAACCCCAAAGGCATATCTTCGTTGTTGCTATCTACTTCATCGTCTTCTTCTTCTTTGCTAGCAAAAATATGGACATCGGAGTTTGTTCCCCATCAGCGCTTGCCGAAATCAAAGATCTACCCAATTTCTCGATCAACATCACGCAGATTTTTCTTGTAGCCTTCTCTGCCGTTCCTGTTGAATTTCAGCCACTTCTTCGAGAGAGAAAAACCAGGAAAGATTTCTTCTTCTTCATCGGAAGAACACGAAGTATCATCAAATCCGCGAGAAGCCATGCTAAAATACTGAATGCTATTTTCAAAAATTCACTAAAAATCACACACGAATCGCAGAATGAAAAACATAACATCAAATGAAAGGTTAATTTATGCAGGTCACGTTCAGATATATTTCAATACCCAGGGGACTACGGTTTCTTCGCTGCAGCCAATAAAAACGAGTCATATCTGACAGGGCGCATGAGGGCGCACTGGATTTTCAGAGGGGTTTTATTTCCGGGCGCATGAGGGTGCACCAGACATCAATGGGTTAAAGATATCTTGTTTCCTAATTGCCATCTACTTTCAATCATATTGTCAGTGCTGGGTGAGTAGAAATTCTGTACAATGTTGTAACTCTTATACTGAAGCTTTTCATGTCAATTTTTGTTTCAAGGGGGGTGCAGAGTTTGTCTTCCCTTCAGACAGTAAAAAGAAAAGAAGTTTGGGCGAGCAAATGTTCACTGGGGTTGGAACATCATACATGTGTGGTATGTTTGTTTGCACTTTCACATTACATTTTCCTCAAAGTATTTGCAATGAGGTACAGTTGAAGTTGTGATATGCACTTTTGGGTATTACCCTTAGCACAAACTTGTTAAACAAATTCTCCTGGCCAGTACCTATTAAGAAAATGTAAAGAGAACGGCAAGGAGAATATGGCGTGTATACTGATGTTAAAGTGTGCATGTTGAGAGTTCATCAGAAAGTAATAAGGTGGTTGCAGGGCTCTGGCCCAGTAGAACACATGTGTTACAGGCTACTTGTTTTTGGCTCTGGGCTACTAAATAAAAATTTTGTTGTCATGACTCATTGTCAGAGCTTGGTACCTTTGGTTTCTAAGGCAAGTAGTCAGGGCATCCAGTTTTTATTTTGTAGTACACTAGGAAAAGTAATATAATTTTGTCTTTCTCTTGTTAGGGTTGGCTGTTGGTGGAACATGGGGTCTATATGAAGGTCTGCGAAATCCAGATGGAAAAACTATGAAGCTTAGAATAAACAGGTCTTGCTTCTTATAAGTACATTTTAGTTTGTTTCCTTCCACAGTGACAAACCTAGATACTTATTTTCTAGAATCTCAAGAAAAAAATAGAAAAATTACATCTCATTTGTCATCAGTAGTGTAGAAAGTGATCCAGGACTCTACCAGTTGAAGTGTACTTTGCACCATTATTGGTCTTGAAAACTTTCACCTCCATCTCAGCTAAAGAGATGCAAAACTAAAACCAATCTTGACTTGAATAAAGGGGTAGGGTAAGTTTCCAAAAGAAACTGTGGTGCAGTTTCAGCAGGCGGTATTTCAGGATAATTTGGCTTTATTAACAGAGACAACAATGTAAATTGGCCACCGTAAAGAGTTCATAACGCGGATGTTTCAAGTGTTAGCCCTTAGTCAGACTTGGTCACTTGTATTTTCACAAGCAAACTGCTTCAGACTGAAAGTGTTAGGTTTGCTTGCTTTTAGTTTAGGTTCTCATTTTTTGGTCACTCTGATTAGCCATTATGCTAGGCTTGATTATCAGCTGCTGTTGGGAAACTGGAGCCTGCACTCCCCCCCAAACCCTTGGGGAGGAACAAAAAAGACTGAACTCAAGAGAGCAGCAGAAATTGAGACCACCAGAAATTGAGACCACCATTATGCTTGCTGTGGTTAAATTGTTTTTCTGACTCTCAAGCTCTCTGATCACTAACATTTGAATCATTTTGTTTAGTGTGTTAAATGGTTGCACAAGGAGAGGTCCATCATTTGGAAACAGTTTGGGAGTCATAGGTAACTATTGACAGTAACTGTACAGGGCTCGACACTAATGGTAGCCCACCAGTCACAGACTAGTAGAAATTCAGTTTTGGCTAGTGGTTTCTCAATTTCCAATTGCCAGTTTGGCAAGTAAACAGACTGAAATTGTCGTAACATCTAAGATGTCACTAGCCACTTGGCTAGTAAGTTGAAAAGTTAGTGTGAAGCCCTGACTGTAGTTGTAAAATAATTGCATTGGCAAGGCTCCAAGCTTAATTTTTTTTGTTAAATAAGCCATTTGATTACTTAATAGTTGTAAAATGACAACTAGAAATAAAAATTTTGGAACAACATGTTTGAAGGATCAAGACTTAACCCTTCAATCCCAAAGCGAGATGAGCCTCTAATTTCTCCTTACTTGACGACACCTGAATTACACATTAAGGTTATGAGAATAACGGAAATGATCATTAGCTAAAGAGGTTCTTGATTGTGAAACAAATTCTCCTTGTTAGCACCTAAGGAAATGTGTAGAGAACAGTATGGAGAATATGCATACTGATGTTAGGGTGTTTTAAGGGTAAAGCTATTCACTTCCAACAGTGAACTTCTGTTTTTTTCTCATTCACAGCTGTCATGTACTGCAGTTTAGAAGCATTAATAAACAAGGCGCGAGGTGGAGAGGAAGATGAATTCAATTCTATTGGTGCCGCTACCCTTGCAGGAATGATTTTCAAATCAACAGCTGGTTTGCGACCCATCGCCATTGCAGGTGCTGTGGGAGGAAGCTTGGCAGCAGGATATCATTTTGGGCAAAAGCTGCTGACCAGCAGAGGACATACAATTTCAACACCTAACTGGGCATAGCCTTGTTTTCAATCTAGGTTCTTCTTTTCTGTTGATGATGCTTTGACCCTTGTACAAATATCAGAAAGTGAGCTGAAAATGGCCGTTTAGTGTTGCACCAAAGAAATGCTAAGGAGAGAAGACTTTGGTTTATTTATGTTAGCTTTGCTTGCTATGCAATTTGAGGGCACTTGTTCCATGTTAAGGTCAGCGTTCAACAATATTACAAACATGACATTTACCAGCCAGGGTATATCCTGGAAATGTTCAGAAAATTAAAAGGCCATGGATGTTGCTTATGAACTGTACATGCAGCAACGCAACAGATATGACCAAGCTGAAGGTTTGAATGTTGTACAGACAGAGGACTGGACCTGGGTTTTAATTGTTACATTGCAGAAATTAATATTACAACAAATAAATATCTTTCCAGTTAAAAAACAAAAGGGGCCAGTCATTCTTGATAGTTTGTTCAATACATTTGCTGCAGGACAGTGTTCCCCTATTCAGACTGACCAGTAAATCTTTATCACCTAAAATTGCTTGGAATTCCTGTAAAGGTAAAAGGATTGCTCTACCGCTCTGAAAATTTCTTTTACCTATCATTCTTAAAATTAGGAATAACACTCATGTGCCATCCTTTAATGCTGAACCCAACAATGAGATTACATGGGCTTTACTAGTAAAAGCAGGATTAGAAATTCCATACTAAAATCCATTCTCTTTCTCAATAAAAAAAATGGAATCTAATTCACACTTCTGTTCCCAATATTCTTAATGTTCTGTAAAGCTCAGTTTTTTGATTCTTTGTCATGGTCAGTGATTGAAGTTGTAAGTAGTGTACTTGTGGTAGTAAATGAATCTCTAAACCCAAGGGCCACAAGTTTGATTCTGAGCAGGCTTTTTCAAAACCCATAACCCTACAAAAATAAGGTAAAAAATTCCTTTAACTAAACAAAGGCAATGTTTAACAACTCTATAAAATTAAGCAGTTGGCACATCATTGATGAAGAACAATCAAATTAAAGCTTTGCCTCAAAAATAGAATTACACTCAAACTTTCAAGTAACAACTGCTGAACTTGATAATGTAGTTCAGAGCTGTACTTCAGCCAAGTGGCCCATCGGCCAGAGTATATCCTAGTTTCCTTGACATGAAGGTACAAGGAGCATTGCAACTCCCCCCTGTATGGAATGCAAATCCATTGCAAGCCCTCCCCCCCTAGCATTTCATGTTTCCCTAACACCTCCTCAGTAACCATTTACACTCCCAAGTGGAGAGGGCTGACATGAAAGTACTGTGTTTTGCCCAACATAGTACAATAACCTGGGGCTTGGTGTCAACTCCAGATTCCAGCACACAAGCTATTAATCCTCTAACTCCTAGAAGTGATCTACAAGTAACTTCTCCCCATAATATCCTTAAAATATCCAGCAAATAGATAGTGAGAATACTAAAACTTCTCATGTTGACATTATCTCCATCCAACACCGAATGCTTCTAATATACCAGGAAATGGATGAAAGTGATCCTTGCAGTAATAACCTTACTTATGTAGTAGTGGGTGGAGACACGCTCGCCTCATGGTTAGTGTGCTCGACTCTGGATCGAGTGGTCCGGGTTCGAGCCCCAGCCRGGACATTGTGTTGTGTTCTTAGGCAAGACACTTTACTCTCACAGTGCCTCTCTTCACCCAGGTGTATAAATGGGTACCGGCAATTTAATGCTGGGGGCAACCCTGCGACTGACTAGCATCCCATCCAAGGGGGAGTAGAAATACTCCTAGTCGCTTCATGCTACAGAAACTGGAGTTAAACACCGTCCTAATGGGCCACTAGGCTCATAAACAGCCTTTTTTTTTATGTAGTAGTGGAAATAAGGCCTGACCAAAATTCAGGCTCGCACAGGATTTGAACCCATGACCCTTGCGATACCGGTGCAGTGCTCTAACAACTGAGCTAACAAGTCAACTGGGAGCTGGTCATTATGTTGGTTTGTATTAAACCGGTTGAAGTGATACAATTCGATACCAGGAAATGTGTAGCAGCTAGATGGGAGAATTGACAATTAGATCTTGGGAGTTAAAGTTTTAAGCCACTGCATCTCCACTAATGAACTTCTTGAAGCTGGGTCAACAATTTTCAAATTTACTGAGAACTACCTTGAAATCTCAAAAGTGACTGAGACCAAATTTTTTCTCCTTACAATATAAATATATCATCAAGCAGACAATTGGTGAGAATAGAGAAAAATATCAAGTAAGGGATTATTAGTTGATCCAAAACAAAATTCTCAAAACCAACGTTGTAAGAATTGTATAGCTGCAGTAAAGAGAATTTAATTTACTAAATGGTAATAAAAATGAGATTTAGAGAGTGACGTGGTTAAATAGCTTATGCTAACAAATTGAAAAGAGTCAGAACATTGATTAATGATTCCCTCCTAACTACAAGCGAGTTTAGAAGTCATTATTATTTGACATGATGCCTGATTTTGTTATGCCAACAATGTTGATCACACTTTCTCAACAGAGGCTACAACTCAGTGTAATTGATCAGTAACAAACACATTTTAAATTTTCTTCCAGGGCAGAAGATTTGCATTTTGAGCAATTATCACTGCGATGTATCATTTATACACTGGAGGGTCAAAGATTAGGTGGATGTGTGGGAGGAGGGGGTGGGGGGAAACTTGAGTGGACATCTCTTGTTTGAAGTCCAACATTTGCTCTATAGTCATAAGGACCTGCAGGTCCAGGTATAACATTCCTAGGTGCAAATCCTGGTGGTAGCCCTGAAGGGAAATATTGAGAAGTAGATGGCCTTGGTGCACCAAATTGAGGTGGGGGTGCATTTCCCATAAGGCCAGGATATGTATCAGGAGAAGGTCCCATGGACTGTGGCATAAATGGGCCTCTTAGAGGTGGACCTCTAGGAGGTACACCTCCATGGGGTCCTGTATGTCCCATCATCAAATGTTGAGGACCTTGTGGTGGGTGGTTCACGTAGGGATTCCCTGGTAAAAAGAGAGGTCTTGACCCCACATGAGGAGGCGTCTTGAGTGGTAATGTGCCTCTTACTGGGGTAAAGGGTCCTCTTGGACTAGTAGCAAAATTCCCTTCATCCTGGTTTTGGTTGGAGGGTTTTCCCCTTCCACGGTTTTGCCAAGTTCTTTTCCTGCCACCTGTAAGTTAAATGGCCATAACGTTGGTAAAATGTACTCATTGTACATGCACTCCTTCAGCACCTCTCTGACTGATCTGTTTTCTTTAAAACGTACTGGCTTGGCAAACTAGTCAATACTTATCCTAATACCGAGTATCATCTGCTAAGGACTGAGTGATTAAAAAAAAGGAATGATACAGTTTGGCCAAAAATATGTTTTACTGATAAAAAAAAAAAAGGCTAATATAAAACCTGGCAGCTCCATCATTTAGTTGTCTAGTAAGTGAATTTAAAAATACAATAATGAGAAATTGCGAAAAAAATAAAAACACCAAGTCTACCTCGATTGGATCCCTGGTGAATATTTCTTTCACTCTCTGTGTTACTCGCTTTATCAACATCTGCAGATGGGCCTTTCTTAGCCATTCTGCAAGTTAAAAAAAGGACTAATGCTTTATTCATAAAATAAAGTATTTGAGACATTTTGTAAAGAAAGATGTTTTCCTCAGGTACACACAACTCCTTTCAAGCTAAGTGTCACCTTTCTTTCTTTTTGGTGGTCTTGCCTTTAGCTTCTTCTTCGTCATCAGAAAACTCCACAGCCTGTGAGATAAGTGAATAAATTAAAAATATTTTCAGCAGTGTTTTAAAATTGGTTGGTTATTAAATTACTTGGTAATTAAAGGGGAACAGTTTCTAAAGAGTATGTGTGGTGTTATGTCTGTGGGAGTAACAAGGTAATTTTGGTTTTATCAACTAAGTTGATAAAGTAAATTGGCCACAGTAAAGAGTTTAAAAGCTGACATTTTGAGCATTAGGCCTTCATTATAGCAAATGACAAAGGACTAATGCCCAAATTCTGTTTGTTTGGGGAAGACAGGTATCTTTAAAAGTAAATTTTGATATATCTTAAAACTGCAGGTCTGCAATCAGGGGCTTCAATGGAAGCTGGTTACTAGAGATCTGTTATTACCAATAAGACCCTTCACTACTGTCTGTTTAGCCTGCAAACAGGTTTTGGTGTTTGGGCTTCACCTTGGGACACAGCCACCTAGTTCACCATTGGCAAACTTCTATGGAAAAAGATATTAGCCAAATCTTCTCGACTTTATTTTGAAAGAAGAAACCGGATGTTACAACGTACAGATATTAGATTACGGTATATTGGCTCATATACCATAATGGCTGAGCCAATAAAAAGTCTTGAATTGCATTATCCAATGACCCAGTTTTTAATAATACCAATAAGACCCTTCACTACTGTCTGTTTAGCCTGCAAGCAGGTTTTTGTGCTTGGGCTTCACCTTGGGACACAGCCACCTAGTTCACCATTGGCAAACTTCTATGAAAAAAGATATTAGCCAAATCTTCTCGACTTTATTTTGTAAGAAGAAACCGGATGTTACAATGTACAGATATTAGATTACGGTATATTGGCTCATATACCATAATGGCTGAGCCAATAAAAAGTCTTGAATTGCATTATCCAATGACCTAGTTTTTAATAATACCAATAAGACCCTTCACTGCTGTATGTTTAGCCTGCAAGCAGGTTCTGGTGTTTGGGTTTCACCTTGGGACACAGCCACCTAGTTCACCATCGGCAAACTTCTATGGAAAAAGTTATTGACACCTGTGTGTTATCCTTGTGACAATTACAGTCTGTTTTGTTGTTATTGTTGTTTTTCTAGTTATTGTTTTTGATGTTGCTGTTGTCGTTGTTGTTGTTGCCGTTAAATCACCTCTACCGGGGGTTCTTCATCGTGTTCCCATGAGGCATCAGATCCTTTTAACCTGAAAAGAAATCGAGAAAAAAAAAAACATACAAATTAATTTGCTGTTGACCAAGCTAAATCTTTGCAGTTTATTGATTTTACCAAAAAAAAAATTTCAAAAATTTAAGCTGAAATTTCAACTCTTTAACTCCTATAGATACAATTTGTAATTTCTCCCTATCAACTCCTATAAATTTTCTTGAGAATCAGCAAGAAAAATTTGGTCTCACATCAGGATAACATCCTGGAGCTGATAAGCTTGTCTGTTCTCATTAACTGTTCACAAAATAACATGCTCAAATACCCAGGCAAAGTTACATGATTGCGCATCTTGGAGTTCATTAGTAGGTCAAATGTCAAGATGTGATATGGAAATATCTGTCAACAATAAATCTTATTCCCTATATAATTATATAGTGTGCTTAGCAGAAAACTCTGCCTTCTGCAAAACATGACCCCAGAAGTGATTAACATGTAACTTCTCCCGGGAGATATCAGAGGTTACAGAGCATTTTGAAACATGGGGTGAGGGGCAGATCTTCCACCCAGCCATGTGCATATCCTACTCAAATTTTCTAAAATGCCCTTTGTTTTGTTCAAGATTGAATATCTCGCCAATTTTTATACTTTTTTATAGACATATATTTTTGGCACCAAAATGTAGTGGGGCTGACACCCCCAATATTTTTTTTTTTTTCGGTTTGAGGGACCTATAGCTCCCCTGCCCCACCGCCTGTGAGTGTGTTGCAGCCAGAGGGGAGAATTTACAATCAGATCTTGTGAGTTAAAGAGTTAGAGAACCAAACTCTGTTTATGCAGAGGTAACTCTTACTTTTTAAGCTGTGCTACAAAGACAAAGTTGGAATACTCCATCATGTCAGGAGCATAGAACACTTTGTCTCCTAAGTGAACATTCCTTTTATCAATGTCTGCCTCATTGTTAAATCTGACTGAATAAAATGGAGTCTGTACTGGTCCAAAGGTCTCAAAAACCTGCAAGGAAAAGTATAATTTTTTTCATTTATAAATTCTTGATTAAGCCTGGGAACAAGTTTGGAAAAGGAGAGTAGGGGGGAGAATGTGTTCATAGACTTCATCTTCACTCTATACGTACCACACCCAGACAGGATCTATTTTCCAAGAAAAGGGCACTGTCTGAATCTAGAGCTGGGGTTTGCGGCAAGGCTTTGACTACCACTAAAAGAGTAAAACAGCTGTGAATGTCAATAATTCTGTAGAAGAACTAGAATGCCTCCTTGACGATTACACAATACATCAACCTTACACAGTACATTATAAGCTAAATTATTAGAGCTACCAATCTCATCTTTACGATTTAAAGCCAATGAAAATTCAGGCAACAATAAGCAAACTGTCTGAAGCAAGGAGAAATGTTAGCAACCAAGATGCCAGTAATGTTGCTTCTCTATTTTCTTTAACAGATTGTCAGAGAGGGTGCCCAGAGTTTTCTGAGCCAATCAAAGACAAGGCTGTGCTCTAATAAAAAGTGAAAGGAGCCCTCTGCTCTGAAACTTTGAAATACAAGGTGTCCAGCATATACTTTAATATGAAAAACTAAAATTTCCAAGTTTCCCAAGAGCTAAAAGTAAGGCACCAAGGGTCAATGGACACTGATAGACCACAGCCCTGAAAGAGTGAAGTAAAGCACAAGCAATACCTATATGTTCTATATCAAATTAGACTATAAGCAATCCCTCCTTTTTTGGTGAAGTCTGTCTCGCAAGTCCAAAACATCAGTGAAAAAAATCGATGTTAGCATGCTGTCCCTACATTTTGAGCACCTCACTTATGGAGCTCCTGTGGCACATCAACATCATTCCAACAGCTCCCCACAGCATGCTAACATCAATTTTTTTCTAATCATTTGAATCACATGATGGACTTTGCCAAAAAGGAGGGACTGCTTGTAGTCTAAAGTCAATGGGAGGTCTGTATAGAGAAAAACTGTGCCTTTGGCCTAGAACCATACTTGAGACCAAGGGCACAGTTTCTTCCTATATGGACTGACTTAGACCAATAAATAATTTATCCATTTGTTTCTGCTGATTTGCTTTCTTCCGCTATGCCACAAATAGCATTGAAAAAATTTGGGATCATGGTCCCTATTGTAAAAAGCTAGACCAGCTAAGAGCCCTTAACTAGCCAATCAGATTGGTGAATTTAAGATTCTGGCCCAGCTGAGATGCTTCAAAAACTAAAATATCAGGTTTCTCAGACAAGTAATTCAAGACAAAATGTTTCAACTCAAAAAAAATCAAAAAAACCTCACCTAATGACTCAACCACACTAAACACCACTCCAAGTTCTACAAGCTGAACATTTTGGTCAACAGTAATATCCAAATCTGGAACTTCAGGAAGGTCCTGAAAATATAAATTTATCGCTAACTGTACTAAATTAAATTATCACATTACCATTTATGACCTGGATAGCAATTCTCCCATCTAGCTGTTATAAACTTTCTTGAGCTTAGTTTGGAGAATATGGTCTGAGATCAGTATTATTTTCTCCAGCTGGTAGCCTTGTCTTTTCTCTTCACCAGTCTACTGGATAGTGTATCGATAATGAAGAGAGAAGTTGTAAGTTGATAAAAGCAAAAATTCTATTTCTGACTTAAAAAAAAATTGAGCCAAGAGTCAACCCTTAAAAAAAAAAAAAAAGAAAACAGAAAAAAAACCACAGATACCTTCACTGACAGTTCACTTCTCGTTTTCAGCGGCCCTACATGAGTACGATCCTCCTCTCTTTCAATTTCTTTTCTGATGTCTTCCAGATCGTCACTTGAAACTTATTCAGAATAACCATTATCAATCAAAAATAGAGACATGTCTAAACAGATATCTACTTAATAAATTACAAATGACACGGTCGTCAAAACAAATAACTGAATGCAAATGGTTGTTACACCTTAATGAAGAACTTATTTCAATCACTTACTCAGAGCTGGATTCAGAGCTTTCACTTGACGAACTTTCATCATCTGAAGAACTATCGCTGGACGAAGAGTTAATTGCAGTTGGACACCCTGTGTGTCCTGCTGTCTCCACAGCACCCCCAGCCTCACTGATACTCTCAAGTTCTTTGTCAATACTATGCATAGTGTATACCTGATGACAAGTAACTACATCATGCATATGGTTTGTAGGCAGGTGACCATGATTCTCTGACGCGATAATTTTGCTTTGATCTCCCTGGGAAGGATCTGTAGCTTTCATGTTATCTGGCTTCTCACACGTTTTCTCAACATTCTGTGTTGTCACAGATGCCATGCCATTACTCTTTACGAAGCTCTGTCCATCATCCAGATGCTTAACAGATGGGTGTCTATTGTCAATAGACTCTTCTACAGAGCATTCATTATCCTTAGGTTTTATGTTAAGTGTATGTCCACACCTTTCAGGTTCTGATAATGTATGTTCATCTTTTGCAGGATATAAGAGAGTATTTTCTCCACCACTTGGAGCAATGAAGTGATCCCCGATAGGCGATGTCTCCATAACTAATTGATCATCACTTTCTTTTTCAAAATGAGCACATCCATTATGCCCAGGTTCTAAGGGTACGAGATTACCTCCTTCAAATCCTACCACAAGTTTACTCTGAGGTGTAGTCTCGGCTGAGCTGACACTATTTCACTTACTGTTTCGTTCTTCCAAAGCTGTACTCTTCCCTCTAACTGAACCTAGATTGACATCTACTTCCACAAAGCTATTGGTACCTGTTTCGTTGCAATTTCCATATTCATTCAAGTCACTTTTGCTCTTAAGGTGAGTGTCTGCGGAAGCCTCGTCCTCTGAGCTGGAATATGCTTCTGCAATTGCCGCCAGACAGTTCTTTTCGTCACCAGAATAGGTAGCTACGCTTAATGTTCCTGCTTCATCCTCACTGGAGACTTTGTCACCTCTGAACTCATCAATTTTCTCTGTTTCATGCTGCATTGTAGTTTGAACGCTTGGGCCTTCTCTGTTTAAACTACTGGTAAGTAACACGTTATGTCCTGATAGAATTTCCTCTAAACCTTTGAGGTTAACTGTCTAGAGTTGTACGACTTGTTCCTTACTTTTGCGACATAGCCTAGAGAAGATGCTTTACTGTGCAACTGGAAAACAAACGACACGTTTAACTACACAAAAATCTGGAAATTTTCACTGATCACGCAGAAACCAGGAGTCGAAACCACGTCCAAAGTTGGCGAAATAAAGTGTTCATCCAACGTGTTTACACAGACACATACACGTGCTCCAAATGTACAACATGATCGCATGTTCACATGGCTGTGTGCCCAAAATGCATCACGCGCCTCTATGTCATCCTCCTCGGCACCACCAACAAAGTGAAGGTGAAGAATATTCTGTCTGCCTTAAATCATCCATTTGAATCCTACCAAATCCTTTCATCGTTGTTTTTGACTTATAGTCATCTGAAGTAATTAATTTTTGGTGTGTCCATTTATGTTATTCTTGCTCCAGATGGTGCAGCGACTGACCTACAGACGTCGTCTTTCCTACAACACCAAATCCAACAGAAAAAGGATGTGAGTTGCACGAAGAGTGAATTTTACCTTATATTACGAACACTTTGACCTTCTTTAAAATTAAAGCGAAGTATGAACTCAATTCTAATTTATCTTTTTTGTTCTCCCTTTTTGCCATCTGCAGCTCCAAGACACCTGGTAAGTTTAATTTGTTATGAATCTTCTTGTTTTGTAACTCTGCAAATTGCGGCTCACTGTTAAGATAAGAAACGAATACACTATCTTTTTTTGTCCTTGCAAGTGAGAAATCTGTCTTTTGTAGATGTATTTTAAGTATGATTTTCTTGATGGTTCTCTGAATTTTCAATCTGTTTGGGAAATTGTTTCTCAAACAGCTCTCTATATGTTTTGCAGAGGGCTTAAATAATTTCATCTTGATCATGTTGTCTATTCATCCGGGTGCGAATACCACATTAATTTTACTTGATCCTGAAAACGTCTGTAAGACCACCAATAATCCTTTTGAAGGCGATATCAATCAGACAACTCAATCAAGTGTTTCTTCTTGTCTCAAACCAGTTTTTTTCAGTTGCATTTCCATATCCTTGCCAGCCCTTCATGTTCTTTTCATTTTATTTTTCAGGAGGAAAGTTGGTTTACTTGTACACAAAGAAGCCAGGCAAGGTTCCAAAATGTGGTGGCTGCAAAATAAAACTCCAAGGAGTGAGTAGATATTTAAATGGTGTTACTCACTAACATGAATATAGCCTTTAATTATTCTCAACTGAAAAGAATAATATCTTTCATAGGATTGATGCCAGTAATCTGAGCAAATGCACACCCACCCCCCTCCCCCCACTCAACAAAGTCAACTGATAACAAGTTAGGGTTAATTTTGTGTTAGGGGAGCGGTGGTGTGCATTTCCTTAGACACTGACATTTGATGCTCACAAGTAACTAGATGAATGAGTAAGATGTTGTTTTCAACTTGAGGAAAGTTAAAGAGCAGGTCCCAGTTATTCAAAGGTTGGATAATGTTATCCACGGGATCAATCTCTATCCAGTGCTATCACTTGTGTGCTGCATAGCAATTTATCTCTTAGATAGCATTGTCTGTTCTTTGTACAGCTTGACCCAGGTGTTGTAGGTAATGTAAAGGTTCAGGTCAAGTTGGTTTCAAACTATTTTGATTAGTTTTCGTTTTTGTAATTGGTACATTACTACTATTCTTACCCAGAGAAAAAGACAGATCAAACAATTTTAAAATTGTGTCAACCCAAAATCATTTAAAAGTATAACACAGGGCGATATCTTAGACAAAGCACAAATAACAACTGCATTATCTACAGAAGTGTGTAGTTCAGTTGTCCAAAAAATGTGGAGGCAACTGAAAAAATTGATTGCTCTTTTTTGACAGCATATTTTGTGGCAGCATCCTCTTTTAAAAGCAAGAATGTTTCTACTCAATTTTTTCAAGTTTAAACCTTGTTGCCCAAAGCATTGGCCCCACAAGGAAACCTTTTAATATCTTTATAAGAATGGGCAATTGAAAGGCTTTGTCTTCTGGCATCTTTCATTTTTAGTTAGGAGTTTGGTAATCAGCAACCAGAAATTAATGGTAGACCTTGTTGTTAATTCCAGCATTTTTTATGGAAACAGACTTACAGATAAACAAATTTACTGTCTATTTTTTTTTTAAAAATTAGATCCACCAAATGTAATTGAAAAAAATAAGCTTTTGTTTAGCCTTGTATCTGAAGTGACTGGCAAACCTCTAATGTGATCTTATCTTTATTTCGACCCTCCATCAATTTTCATTGTTTATTTCAAATCTTTCATGCAGTTGCCAGCTCTTCGTCCCAAGAAGCTGATGCACATCTCAAAGCCCCGGAAAACTGTTAGCAGGGCATATGGTGGCTCACGATGTGCTCGTTGTGTGAGAGAAAGGTAAGGGTCATTTAATCTTGATTTATTCTCTTTTTTTGACATGTCATTCCTTGAAAATGAATCAAACCAGAAATGAAAGACCTTGGAAAAGTGTTTCTCAATGGACACACAAAAATACGCCCTAAAAATTGATTACTTTAGAGCAAGTGTCACTCTTGGAAAAAAATAGTTTGCAGAAGATCTGTATCAGTGATGATGAACTTTGTCATAAGCACTTTGCAATTGTTGCAAATTTGATCCTTTGTGCATTAACATCAGGGTACATATTCTTTATACTGTTCTACATACACTGGTTAAGGTGCTGACAAGGAGAATTTGATAAACAATCAAGATCTGTAGCATGTGATCATATCATTTATTCTTGTGACCTTAATGCATGATTGAGAATTTTGAGGAGAAATTAGAAGCTAGCCTCTCCAAGGAGGATTCAAGGGTGAAAGAATTGATTCATCAGAATTTACCTTTATTGTTATAGGATAATCAGGGCTTTCTTGATTGAGGAACAGAAGATTGTTGTCCGTGTTCTCAAAGCACAGCAAGGGAAAAAACCATCCTCAGATTAAAACTGAAAAATAAATGTTTTGTTGTACATATACTGTCTGTGTTGTGCTTTATGCCTGCTATTTAGCAAGCAAGTTTTTTTGAGGTGTGTGGGGGGGGCAGAGGGTAG